ACTCAACCGACTGAGCCACCCAGGCGCCCCTGGTTTTACAAACGAGTAAACAGTGTGAGACCCTGACTCAAGCTGCTAATCCAGAAGGACAGGCCAAGGCTCCGGCCCAGGCCTCTTCATGCCAGTCCAAGTTCTTATCCCTCCTTAGGGTTGGGGTGAAAATCCTACAACTTCTCCTGGATATCAAATCCAACCCGACCATAACCTTAGGAAGTGCACAGGCAGGGCGTCCTGGGTGCCAGGTGCCATCTTAAGCATGCTACACATATGAATCCACTCAATCCACCCTGTACATATGGACTGTTGTTGTCATTCCATATAACAGATGGGCACACTGAGGCCCAGCAAGATTGTGGACCTTGTACAACCGGGCACAAGGCTCATCGGCGGAGTCAGGTCCACACCTCCCGCAGCGTGGGTCCAGAGTCCACTCTCGGCCCTGATGCTCCCCGGCAGTGTCTAGACAGGATGCTCCCACATGCCACCGCTGACCAAGGGCACAGGTGCTTCCACCATCAAGGCCATTCAGCTGCACCTTTGGCATAGGGGCCCCACCTGGCCTTGTCAAGAGGGTGACAAACCCAAGAGACTTCAAAGACACAACCACCGCCAACGCGTACGAAGGAAACAAGGTGCTTCCTCTCCTTGTTACAACGCAGAGGTTTTTAAAAGCACCGTCAGAATTGCCCAGCCACAAAGGCGGGACACCAAGGTAGCACAGGGCAGAACCAGCGATCTCCTTCCAGACCCCATCGCGACTCAGGTAGCTGCAGGGATGGGGGCCGTCCTGCTGAAACCCTCCTGGCTCATGCCTCCCGCAGACCGCTGCCCCCACATTGACCGCATGTGCCATTACCCCACCTCAACCTGTAGGAGGCCAGCAGGAATGAATTGCCTTAAGATAACAGAGACTTGGATCCAGAACGTAGAAAGACTCAGATAAATGGCAATGAGAACTGAGAACAGGTCAGTGGCTGGGACAAAGGAGGCTAATGCAGAGAGGAGGGCAGAGACAGGACAAAAATCATTACGTGTGGCTCTCGCCCACATGGGAAGGACAGGTAAATGGAACGTGTGACAGACAAAAACAGAGTGGTATTAGTCAGGGCTCAGCTGTGAAAAACAAAAAACACACAAAATAAAGTTATCATCTGGCTTTATGGTTTCCTTTTAAAGGGTTTCCCCCCTGGTTTGTCCTGCATGTAATGTGTATGTGTGAGTTTATAAAGGAGAAACAAAAAGACAATTCAAAAAAAAAAAAAGAATCTTTTAATAAAAATTATTCATAAAAATCCTAATAAATTTCTAAGAACAAGATATTTCTTAGTACATTTATAAAAGAACATTTGGTCCTTTTACAAAAAGCTCCCTCTTAATTTAAATACATTTCTTATTTACAGATTAAACATAAAATATCATCTATAGTTGCAAAGCATATTGCACATTACAGAGAGAGAAGCATGTGTATGTTTTAATTGGTTTTCCCAGAGTTTCCAACTCCAGATTTTTTTGTAAAAACAGATTTACCTTTCTTGTGCATAATAAATAAAAATGCAGCTTGTGTTTTGCTATTTAAAACTAAAACAAAATACCTTTTAAAAAATAGTATTTCTATGCCTCTCAGAAAGAAGGAAAGGGGGTGAGGAATCAGGAAGCTCCACAGGTACATTTTCCCGGAGTCACGTCCAAACTCAAGCAGGAACAGAACCCTGAGCCCTGCAAAGCCTGGGGACACACAACCCAGCCAGCCCACCCTCTCTCTTTCACAAGGGTCCCTGCCCTGCAGGGAACAGGCACTAGAGAAGGAGCTGGATGTCTGGGAACGGAAAAGGAAAGACCAAGATTTTCTTCAGAAGTCCCTGCTCAGGCACTCTGGTTAGAGCAATCATGCACCCTACCTTTTCACCATTCAGTTTGAAAGTGTCAAAAGAGAAAGACCCCCGGAGCCCTCCAGAAAGAAGAAAAGGATGTCTGATGCTAATTCCACAAGATCCAAAGCAAAGGATGACTGTCTGCAATCATTCAGTAAACTGAGCTAAGAAAATAGCTAAGAGGCTTTCTTTGGTCGGGGAGGGGACAGAAGGTGAGGGAAACAGGTTCAGGCCCTCAGATTGTATACAGACCCTCCTCTAAAATTCACCTGCACAGACACCACTTCGTGCATGAACAACAACGACTTCAGTGATGTGTGTGTGCCCCCGCCCCGATCCGGGACGGCCTGAGAACCTGGGATTCAATCGCACAGACCAAGTTCCGGTGGAACTAACGGCAGGACGGATGTGCAAATGGAAGCTGGTTCTTCACAAAAGCCAGCACAACTGTAAGCCAGACTTCCTTCGTCACCTACTCCTCAGGAAATGAGAGTTCCCTGTCACACTGAGCCTGCCCTGTACCGATTTAGAACTTTGTGGGAGGCGATTCAGACTCCACCCAGCCTAACTACCAGGCAGCTTTCTACAGCAGTTCTGTTAAGACCATCTTCCTCACGTCGACCAGAGCAGACTCTAGACCCTGGCTACACAGGGGAACTTGAGGTTGATGCAGGCCCACAGCTGTTCCAAAGGATGGCATCCATTCAGAATCAGGGCAGTCCTGGGGCAAAGCACTCCCCCCTCCGCCTTTCTCTACCCCATATCCTGCGACACAGAATAAAAGACACAGCAAAAGCCCTGCAAGATGTAACACAGCTATGGACATTCTGATCTCCAACCAGAACACGAGCAAGTTTTGAAGTTAGCTCAAAGAACCTTCGTTTCAGGGCTGGCACTAGGCGCTCATCTGTAGCCCCACAGAGCACGGACTAGGCAGCATCACTCTGGACCGGGCAGTCTGCGAGCTCAACCACCAGGATGAGTCCACACAGTATGTCGCTCACCCTCAGGCTCGCCAACTAGTACAAGGCAGTGCCCAAAAGGCAAGAGGGTCTTGACTCCGTGCAAGACACCTCCCGGGCCGCCTCCAGCCCCTGGGGTACATCAGCAGCACTCAGGCACACATCCCCACTCCTGAGCACGAGGGGGCTGCAACACCAGAGCAGGTGACAGGTTAAGGGCCTGGAGGAGAGGGTGATGTCAGAATGCCACACATCAATGTTGTCACAGAAGCTGGAGAGGGAACCCAGCAAGGCCACGAGAGAGGGCAGATGCATGGAGGACCCACTTTCCTCCCTGATGTGCCCCATCCTCCCAAATGGGCCATTTATAGTCCCACGTCAATGTGCCCGGAGAAGAGCTACAGGGACGCTCGGGCCTGTGTGCACATGTGTCTGTAAATGCGGCATTTTGATTTGACTGAGTCAAAGAAAACAATTAAAATATATTCTCAAAGAAAATTTTCTATTCAGTAGATAAGACAAGGTCGATAAAGAGAATGCCTCTGAAAAGAAGAAACAAGTTAAGACAGAAGCATTTGATTGTGTTTACTTTAAAACAATTTGCATAGTATATATTTAAAAGGTAGAGGTGACACATTTATTACTGAAAATCCTTTTTTTAAAAATCTCCAAGAACTGAATTCTGTCTTAAAAAAAAAAACAAAAAAAAACAGTAACACTTAAATTTTCAAGAAGGAATAAAATCTTTCCCTTTGACTGATATGCAATGGCTTAGACCACACTTCTAGTTTTAAAAAGATGAACGGGAAATCGTTGGAAGTGTGCAAGCAGGGACAGGTGCACAACATGACAGGTGAGGGTGGAGGTGTTCAAGAGACTTCCCAGCCTTTCTACTGGGGTTCATTTCAACCTCAGATGTTACACGAAGCCAGGCTGAGGGTTCAAATCCACCTCTGCTTCGTATGAGTATTCAGTGTAAGTTCAAAGACAGATACTTCTGTTCTGGCTAAGAAAACAACAACAAAGAAGGCGTTTGAGCACAACTTCCTCCTGATGTTGGTTGGCTTAAAAATATCAGGCTGAAAGTCAAGGACCGGCCAAGAATTTTCCAGTCTTCGTAATACCCATCCTATCCCCCTTTCACTGTGGTCCCACCATGTGGCGATACAAAACAAGCCTGTTACAAGCGTGCCAGCAGCTGTGACGACCAGCAGCCCCCACCAAAATCGAATAAGGCACTAATCTAACGCCTGTGTTACACAGAGAAACGGCTCAAGGGGACTGGAGAGTCATCTGATCATTTCTTCCTCCCTGACTTAGCTAATTGGCACTAGACACAGAAAACAAAAACAAAACACAATTCTAACCCAAACACGGTCAGAACTGAGAATCCTTGGTTAGTATATACAACACAGAGGGAAGCCCAGACATTCTTAGGTATTTCTCTCCCCCTAAAAGGCACCTGGTTATGGAACTACAGGAGCTCCTCAGGTAAGTTCAAAATAAATGTAATACACCGTCCAAAAGATCTTGCCTTGTGACAACTTAAGAGACTGCCTTTTGAAATTCAGGTCAAAGTTATTCATGAGCAATTAACTCGTAACACTGTGAAGATTACTGGGGATGCAAATGAATAACTCGGGGGTTTTCCCCCATGCGATCCCAAATCATAGGTGGAGGGAGAGCCCAATTATCTAGTGAGAGAGAGAAAGGATAACAAAATGCAATAAATAGGGATGAACCTCAGGCCCTTTGCACGGAAATTTCGTTCACAGTCCCCTAACAGAGAGGTAGCAATACTGCAGTCACAAGTGCCGGAGACGGGAACACACTCGTTGGATTCCAAAGGGTGAGGCTAGGAAGATCCATCCAAAGATGCCCCATCCACACTGTGCTTAGGAAATCAGCATGTCATAGGAAGCCAACTTCTGTGTACCTTCTTACTTCCAATTATATCCTTAAGAAAAACAGGGCGTTTTATTGAACAGAAGAGAAACATAGCGTATGCACGATTCTGCTAGACGTGTGTGCGGAGCCAGCCGGAAATGCCAACACCGTCGTGGACGGCCAGACTGCCACCCACTTCCACTTCAGAACGTATCTCGGCATGGCCTGGGTTCAGCTGTTTACGTCCAGTTTCCGATGCGGCCACACGGAGGAGAGCACCTCAAATCAGGCCAACCATCTGGTCAATCTGTCTCATGTAGATGCTCTTTAAGGGCAGGGAGTATCTCCTCTCGTCAGGAACACGATTGCACTAGGAAGGAAACAGAAGAGGAAAACTGTCAACTTGGAATTAAAAATCCAGGTATTAATTGCCCAGGAAACGCAGGTGGATGACCTAAACCAGGGTTTGTCAATCTGCACACCGTTGTCATGGGGGCCATCTTGTGCGCCGCGGGATGGTTAGCAGCGTCCCTGCTGTCTCCCGCTAGACGCCCCCAAGCCCCTGCTCCCCTAGTGTGACAACCAAGATTGTCTCCAGACTCTGTTCCATTGAACAGAGGAGAAAACCTCCTCTGTGAGGAGAAAACCACACCAGGTGAGGACCACTGATATAATTTAATGTCTTCCCAAGTGAAGAAATGGAGACTCAGGGCAGCTAAAGGACATGTGCCCAAGGGCAGAGTGACCGGGACGAAAAGTTCATCCCCTTGGGGCCTTCATTTAATCCACCCAGAATTTCAGAAAACACCTCGGCTATTTGAAAACACAACTGGCCCTTGAACATTGCAGGGCTTGGGGCACGGCCCCCCAGAGCGGTCAAAAACCCACATGTAACTTCTGCTTCCCTACCAACCAACAGCCCACGGTTGACTGGAAGCCTTACTGGTAACAACAGTCAATGAACACGAATTTTGTATGGTGTGTGTATTACATACTCCATTCTTACATTAAAATAAGCTACAGAATAGAAAATGTTACTAGGAAAACCATAAGGAAGAGAAAATACACTTGCAGGACCGCACCGTATTTATCAAAAAACACCCGCATGCAGTTCAGACCTGCGTTGTTCAAGTCAGCTGTGGGTGGTTTTTCTGAGTTTATGGTTCTTGGATCCACAGCTAAAACCTAAATGCTTGAGAGAGCTTTTTACCCCCTCAAATGAGGTGCGAGTCTGTAAACCAAACGCATTTGTCTGCAAACATCCGTTCATTACACACTTGTCCCCAAAGACACACACTCCCACTCACTGCTCTGAACTTGACTCCCCCATGCCCTACTCCCCATCCTCGTGAGATCAAGGCCAGTAGGCCCTTCAGTGGGTCCCAAAGCTCCCCAGCCAGGCATCTGTAGGTGCTATTCCTGCTGCCTGAACACCCCTTCCTGGGAAGCTTCTCCTCACCCTTCTAGGAACTTCTGAAAAGCAGCCTCCATGATGAAGCCTATTTTTATCTTCCCTGGGAGACTAGCTCCTCTCTGTTTCACCAGCACTTCACGCACGCGGTGCCTTAGTGACAAACACCCGGGGCGGGGAGCCCACTGGGGCCCCTGGGATGCGCCAACAGATGAGCCAACTGTCTCCTTCCAGTCCATCTCCTGCCTCCACCTCGCAACCTGAATCTCTCTGTGCCTCCCTTTCTCCACTTGTCGAGTGGGGATACCAAGCACCTAACCTCACAAGGCTGCTGTGAGAAATTCACCCACACGACCACCTGGAAAAGGGGCCTGGGCAACGGTAAGCATTACATGCAAAAGGTGACTTATTAATATCTCTGTCCTCCTAACTCTCCTGCTCCCCTTTCCTTCTCAATTAGGCCCGTATTCACCTAACCTACACTCCACGGCCTTACAGAGATTTGGGGGACTCACTTCTGTGCTGGGCTGTCCACACAGTTCACAGACTGATGGTAAAGACCTTCAGCAGGACCATTAAGGAGCCTGGGATGAAGGGGTGTCCCTCACCAAGGCAGTGTGGGGCTGGGTGGTAGGAATCTTGACAATAGAGGCTTTTTCTGGGAAGACAGGTGGCATCCACTGCACCGTGGGGTAACGTGGTTTGGTATTTCGACTGATGCCTCTTTCCGCATCCTCGCTTACAAACCATCCTATATGCTTCAAACCAACACAACTAACCTAGGACTCCTACCAGAAACTCCAGGACTCGTTTCCAAATCTTTCCCAGTACTTACCAGGATGATGGAGGGAGGCATGCTTAGTGAAACCCTGCTTTAAATGAAACTGGGTTCTTCTGCACCTCAAAGAGCATTTCATTAAAAATCAGGATGACTTATGACTGCGTTTTTTTCCTCCCCTGCTGCTCAGTGATTTGGCTGGATCTCTTCCTTTTGTCCTTCCAAATCACTCTCCTTCCCCATCCTGCTCTGGTGCCAGAGGCCAAGCTGGCAGATTATACCCAGAGGTCGAAAGGTCGCAGTGGCCTCTGCCTTCTGGTGCACACAGCCAAGGAGGGGCTCCAGCAGATTAGAAGGAAGCACAATGGTCAGTGTTTACTCCGCTGGCTCCCTTCCTGCAAGGTCACTGAGGCCAGCTCGGAATATGGCTTCTGCCAGGAGACTGCCCCCTCCAGCACACCTCTCCCCACCCCGGTTCCTGGAGCCACGAGCCCCTGCAGCTAGGACAATGAGGCACTGCTCCCATGGTTCCCTGCGCCCTGATGCTATCTACACTATCTACCTTCAGGGTCTTTCGTGAAACTCTTCTCAGATGACCCAGTCTCAGTGTGCCACCAATCTTCTGTCAGGGACTCTAAATGACCAATTTGTATTATTTTCTCCTCTTCCGCACAGAAACCACCACTGGAGAAAGCCACTTACATTGGAGCTGGAATTGATGACTTTTAACTCAGGAGATTTAGGCCTGTGCACAGACTTTCCCTCTTGGTTCTGCCCTCCGTCTTCAGAAAAGAATTCCTTCCAGGGTGATTCCCGAAGATGTTTGTCCACAGATACAATGTGTCCCTCAGTTGTAAACATGTATTTGGTTCCAGATTTGTGGACTGGATTCTCCTCATCAAATAGCTGGTGGGAAAGGAAAAAAAGAAAAGAAATGTAACTGTAGCACTTTGGGAACTAACTCCAGAGACAGTGTCCCAGACTACTCAGGGAGCAGAATTTGCTGGGTCCTCAGGCTTTTCAGCAACAAATGGGTGAAAAGGTGGTTCCCAATTCTGGCTGCAAACAGAATCACCAGTTTTGTTTAAACACAAATGCCTGAATGTCTCCCATCCCATCCCACCCTGCTCAGACCTAAAGACTGAGAAATCTGAGGGATGAGATCCAAACTTGCATAGTCTGTAAAAGCTCTCAGGATGATCTCCCCTCCAAGGCTCCCCTGAGAGTTCTGACACTGGAATTCTAGAACCACCACCCACCTCACACACACCTAGGCCCTAACCGGAAAATGCTGGAAGGAAGGACGCACACGCCTTCACACTATCCCAGGGTGTGGCACAGAGCCTGACCCTGTACCACCATCCCATTGCTTCTGGCACGGGCCAGACCCTGAGGACAGAGGCACACAGGGCAGTGCCCTCCTTCAACAGGAGGCGTGCAGCAGGAGTGTCCAGAAAGAACACCTAACCGAAGAGGGGACAGGTCGGTGGGTGGAGAAGGCAGATGTCCACTAAATGCTAAATGAGCCAACTCTCAGAACAGGAATCTCTGTGACGTAAGAAACCTTACAGTCACCTGAAGTATTCTACAGATAAGGAAAGACTCAGCATGGCTGGTCTGTTTCCACAGCTAAGGAAGAGTGTGGTAGGCCTAGGTTTTCTGGCCCCAGACCCTGAGCTCTTTCCTCTAGAATGGCCTAGGGGATCTCCCTCACTCACTCTAGTGCACACCCCACGCACCAATGGCTGCTGGACAGGGATGCGTGCAGGGCTCCCATCAGCCTGCAGCGGCCAGCATGGCTCCAAGTCCAAGGCGTGCTCTGACAGGGAGACCTAGGCCCCCACGGGGGTCTGACAGCAGGACAGCCATCATGCCATGGGCCATGTGGCCTGCTAGTGGACACGCCCCCTCTGCAGTCTTCTGTGAAGTCACACCAGATTAGACTGGAAGGTCCAAACCCTGGCTTTGTGCAGAATCACAAGCCACTTGTCAAAATTACAGATTCTTGAGCCCACTTCTGAATCTAAAATGTAAAGATTCTGATTCAACAGGGCTGTAATTTTAACAAGGGCCCCAGGGTGATTCTGATCCAGCTGGCCCCGGGGCCTGGGAACCAGCGGCCTCAATAACACAGCCTATCACCACTGCTCGATTACCTTTGAATGTCGGCCCCCTCACTGTTTCCCCACTGGGGACCCTGACACTCTGTGCCCTGAGGAAGCAGCCTTTGGTATGCAGCCACAGTGAGTAGAGTGGCAGGCAAGGCAGGACAGTAGGTAGGTACCCACACACACCACCACCATGCGTGTGAGCAGGAGGAGAGCAGGGAAGGGGGAAGAGCACTGAAGAAGGAGTCAGGACCGGGCCTGAAGCCTCTGCCCCGCCATGCAGTCACCCTGAAAATCCAGGCAAGTCACACCTGCCTCTCCACAAAGACAGCAGCTCCCGTGAGGGGAAGAATGAACGCTGACAAGATGACCCCTTCAAGGTTTCTTCCAGGGCCCGTGATTCTGTCGCTCTCCGCACACACGAGAGTATGTGTGTGTGGACAGAGAGCCAGCCGGGCTGGGGGTCTCAGCCAAACTCACACACATCGAGAGACATAAGAGCTACAGACACTGCTCTCGTCCTCGTGGGAACCTGTCCCAAGCACCACAGCATTGGAAACCAGGGTGGAGGACGGCAATATGCTCTTGTGTGCACAGTACTGTGTCCCCAGGCCAGCACATGTGCAGCCCGGAGCAGTGCCCAGGGAGTATGTGCTTGGACAGAACTCTGAATGAATGCTTGCTCCAAGCAGTGATCGACATTTCCTGGCTTGGGGCACCTGGGGTTAAGCCCCAGACTCTTGATTTCGGGCTCTGCACTGGCAGCACGGGGCTTGTTTGGGATTCTCTCTCTCCTGCTCTCTCTGCCCCTCCCCTGCTCTCTCTCTCTTTCAAAATAAATAAATAAACATTAAAAAAAACAAAACAAAACATTTCTTGGTTATAACCCTGTAACACACATACCAAGTACAAGTATTTACAGGTCTCGCTGAGAAAGAAGCTCTCCATCCGGTCCTCTTTGGATTTATCTATGACGTGATGCAACGTAGCATACCCACACCTACAAAACAATTTTCCAGTTAGTCCTGCCTCTGCTCCTTCCTACTTGCTTATTGATTTGAAAAGCAAAAATAGTAATTTGGAGTAATCAACCAAATTATCAAATGCCATACGAAAAGCAAATTAGGTTAGGTTGAAGAGGTATCCTTTTTTTAGCCCAGAAATTATTTGCAAATTCATTAAAATGTGGCTTGGCTGCTAAATCATCAGGTTAGGTGTAGGGGGAAGAGAGAGTGGGGGTGGTGGATGGGACATGCCAAGTGCTTAATGTGACACCAAGAAAATGACAGGCAGCAAATTTAGGACTGAATGAAATTTTTTTTTGTCCCAGTACCTGTAGAACTGACTTATCATTGGACAGTCTAAAATACTATTTTGTAAGAAAATACTTATACTGCTAGGTGAAAAGGCAGGTCACAAAACTGAAATATAGAGATTTTTTTATATACACACACATAAACACATTATGCATATAAATATATAAAAAAGTATATACACTTAAATGTGGACTGTGGTTATCTGCACGTGGAGAATACAGTGATAATATTCTACCTCCATGTTTTCTGTACTCCCTAAACTTTTTAGCACATGTATTTGTATAACTAGGGAAAATAAATTACTAAAAAGAACATACATAGTCTGCTGGAACCTTACGGGGGAAAAAAAAGGTAATAAAAAGTAATTCCCATTATAATGGACCAGTCCTGCCACACAAACAATAGGCAATTTCCCTACAGAACAGTACTGACCTGTTTTATAAATTAAAGTGCAAAGTGAAATATTTCCCCAAAACGACTGAAAATAAATCAAAAGGGCCAGAAAAAAGGAAGGAACTTAGAAAACTAACTTGACTTTTGTGTACTTTTCCAGACTCTGCAGGATATCCATTCCTACATGGAGGTAGAAGGGATTCTTGGTTGCCTAGAGAGAACACGAGAGAATGTGATCCAGCAAGGGCCTGGAAAACATGCCATCAACAAACATCACAGCGACTGCAGGAATCTCCCGAGCAGGTGAGTCACTGGCCGAAAGCAGGTGCAGCGCCCAGCTCACTTTATCTGGAAGGGTCGCAAATGTAACAGGACTAAGTTGTTCCATTGCTCACGTCAAAGTGCATCTACAATGTGTTTCACCTTAACCAGGGCTAAGACAATCTGTCTGAGGGCAGACCAATACCCTGCTTGGGCGCCCCTGATCCCCGTCGTGATCAGAAATAATGCCTCACGGACAGTACCACTTGGGAGAACCAACCTAATTCTATCTTGCCTCGGAACTCTCTAGCAACTTAAGATGCAGGCCCAGGGAAGCAGGATCTTGCCCCCAATCCACTTAGGGCCTTCCCGGGAAAAGCTAACAGGAACAAGAAGGCTTTCACACAGGAGGCCCCCACACTTTGCTCTCCAGCTGCCCTGAGAACCTAGTCCCTGGGGCTCCTTACTCTGCTGTCACATGCTTGCAGATGGTTTCTTTAGGAAAACAATTCTCTGAGAAGATGAGACCTGTACCCCACAGACGGTTTAAAAGTTAGGGATCGCCTTTAAGTCGTGCCCAGTGCCAACCTGCAGCAGCAAATGCAAACCGCTAGGAAGGTAGCAGGCTGCGCGTAAGGGGAGGACAGGGAGATGGCTCAGAAGGCAGGGACACGAAGCCAGACATTTCTGTGGATTCTGAGAGAACAGGCAACGCGAGGAAGAAGCTGAAAACAGGAAAGACGCAAGGACAGAAATCAAGAGGTGTAAACCCAGAGGCAACAGACCTAAACTGAGGGGGAGGACTCAGGCAGCTTAGGAGGAGGACTCGAGCGGTTCGAGGCATGACTTCCTCACAGCACGTGCAGCCTGACCGCCCACCCAGCTCAGAGAAGCCAGCTCAGAGGCTATCTCTTCCTTGTCTGAGAGGTCATCTAAAACTCACGAGGGCTCTCTTTACACTCAAGGACTATGACCAGGTTCATAGCATTTCTCCCTTTTTTCATCTAGAAGCAAAGGGCAAGGCTTTAGCGTTATTATTATTATTATTATTATTATTTTAATAAATCTAAACCAGAGTCTTAATCCTACTCTCAGAAGTCATGAAACTAAGTATCTTCTTGTGAGGGCTTGCCCACCGTGGGCGTCTATTACAGGTCTACTGAAGTGCACTGAAGGCCATCTCTGTAGAAAGCTGCAGGACCTGTGAACACGTGCAGATGCTCCGTGTGCACAGACAGACAAATACCTGCCTCAGCCTGCAGGGCAGACCTCACAGTTAAAGTGACATTCCCTCTGGCACTGAATTGCATGGAAAAATGAATGCTATACTTTTTTTTAAGCGTTAAACAAAAATAGGCATTCAGATGAATCCCAGAGGATTCCCTTTACCAAGAATAAGAATTCCTTTTGTCTGAATAATTATTACACAGACCAGGGTTCCACCGTGCATGAGTACAGAACTGTAGCCCAAAAAAGAGTTATCTGGCCAAACAGATCCGGTAAACACCAAGTACTAAATCCTCTCTAATGTTTGAGGGCGTGAGAGAAAAGTCCTATGGTACGGGCATGCTCAGCTTTGCAGAAGGTTAGACTCAACGACGCGTGTGGCCGCAGATGCCTTCTCTGTCCTGTGGGACCATGACCACGTGGAACACTGACAAGCCCACGGTCAGGCAGTAGCTGTATCAGAGTCACTATGAAGAGCACAATTCTCCACCAATAAGTAAATGTGTGCTAAAACCCAACTGCTACGAGTCCTGCTAGCATTTAAACACAAACTACTGGTCAACAAAGCCTAGTACCTGGTACAGTAGATACGTAGATTCCACTAACTCCGGTCTCAGCGGGTAGAAGAGCACGTCAGGGGCCTGTAGCTGCCAGTTATACCTCTCAGGGAGGGCCCCGTAGCGTTTCCATATGGCGTAGTAAAAGGCATGGAGGCAGATGGCATCTTCCACATCTCCTATCAGAACCTGAGGAGCAGACACAGGTCACTAGGCTAAGACACTTTTCTCAGCGTGGCAAGGCAGAACACAGAGGCCCTGGGCTCTCCCTCTGCCCACCAGTTCTCATCTGTCCTACAAACACAGGTGGAGACTAAACCAACCCGAAAGTAGCAGCCCAGAGAAAAGGATGCCCTCACTATGTGACCATCAACACCAAACTGATGTGAACTGCACAGGACAGCAGGTTAACTGTACCAATGAACAAAGAATAAACAATTAAGAGACAGATGATCCAAAAATCACATACGGTTACTTTTTTACCATGGTTTGTGCTTGCTTCCTGTGGCTCTGTTCAACATTCTGGGGACTAATCTCACAAACAGAATAATCAAGACATATTGTGCTAATAAGCTCCCAAATCCGGAGGAGCCAGAGAATGCTCTGGTATCATAAAAAGAACAGAATAAAAAGAAAAGCATAAAAGAAAGAAAGAAAAAATGATTGCTTTTTCCTCGCAACACACCTGCAAGCCGGGGAAGAAAGCCTGTAGCGAGTCAATCCAAGTGTTCATCAGCTGCCCACTGAACATGTTCACATTGACGTAGAGCGGGGGGTCTCCTTCTCCTTCGTTACAGGCTTCCCGACTGGTGACCCAAGCAGAGCAGTCAAAGGTGAAAAGAGAGATTGCTGACAAAGCTCCAGCCCTACTCCAGCAGTCTTTACCTCAAATGGAATCAACGTTAACATGTTCCCCTACCTCATTCTTTAAACCTTTGGGAATCAACTGCCTCTACCTGTCCATACCAGGATCTAGCAGAAAGTAACAGGTGCCATAGGAAAGAAGTTCCAAAGTCAGCCAGTGTAACTTACCGGGGATTTCACTCTATATTGCAGAAAGCACTTGATATTCAGGCTTAAGAATACCACCACGTAATGTGGCATACGGCATGGGTCTTTGTTGGATTTGACCTGAGTGGGGAGGCCTAGTTACTTCTACACACACACACAGTCTCTTCTCTAATGAGGTCCTACACCAGTGGCCTGGAAGATCACATCAGAGCAAGATACTCACGGATTATTTCTCAATTTACTTTGGGACTTCAAAAAGCAAAAAGGACTGAACCCTGGCAAAGTGGCCTCTTACTAAAACACAGCACTCACGTAATGCATTCCTACAACAGCTTATGCATTCCTACAACAGCTTTCTTATGGGTCTAAGAAAATCCTAGCATGCACAAACCCAGTAGCTATCACTTGCACTGGACACTTAATATACAAAAGCATACAAAGAAAGACCTAAGGGAGTGAGGTGACATTGGGGTAGAAGCCCGGGGTAGAAGCTTCAAACAGCACTTCTCTTCCGCCCTCCTAATTGTACAACTGGATAGTAGCAAATAATGGTGTTTGAAACAAACAGGGGTGGGGGAAGGGGGGTTCATAATTGTCCTTTCTCTCGTTAGGGATAAAGACCAATCCTAACAATTCTTTGGAAAGTAAAAGAACCAAAATAACTCAGTAATTGTCCTGTATTACAGCTCTATCTGCAATTAGAGCCACAGTGAAACACAGGCATAATGTCACTCCCTGTGGCAGGGAGTTTCCACGATGGCCCCAAAGATCCCCAACCCCTGGCAGTCACAAAGGTTCCCTCCCACACTGTATGAGAGTTGGTCTGTAGGACCTACAGAGCTGGATGGAAGTGTTGGTTTGTCATTCCAAAATTAGGTCATGAAAGCACACTTTAGGTCTTTCTCTCTCAGATCACTCACTCTGGGGGAAGCCAGCTGCCATAGACCTGTCTACAAAGAGGTCCATGTGGCAAGGAGCTGTGAGCCAACAGCCAGTGAGGAATGGAAGCCTGCCAACCACCAGAGTGAGCCCAGAAGTGGGTCCTCCAGCCCCGACCGAGCCTTGACACGGCTACAGTCCCTGCCAATAGCCAGATGACAATCTTGTGAGACCCCAGATCCACCCCGTGGCTCTTGGCTCCCAGACCCTCAGAAACTGTGTGGGCTAATGTTTATTGTTCTAAGCCACTAAGTTCCGGGGTAATTATTATGGCACAGTAGAAAGCCAACACAGGTCTTCGCCCTCGAATGTCTGACCAACAGCCAGGAAGTGCACGACTGAGGCAGAGACCAAAAGACCCCGTAAATTCATGCTGAGAAAAGTAGGGGAGTTTCTGAATGCATTCTATTTGTTTCACAGAGCAAGAGAACAGATGTCAGGGACACACACCCTCTTCTTAAGTAGTTCTGAATACTCCGATATGCAGCATTAAACATTTCTAGGTCTTCTTTTTCTCCAAAGAGAATGTAAGACTTCAAGAGGTATTCATAGAAGGAGTCCAGTCCAGCACCCAAGCCGCTCTGCTTTCCGACCCAGTGGCCCGTCTGAATGTTCACCACGTTGCCTGCAAAAACAAACGAAGCCCACAGGGCCCAATTATCCTGGGGCGGCTCCCTCTCCAGGGTGCCCTTCTCCTCCAGCCCCATGTGCTTCAACACCCTCATCCTTGGCAGAAAAGCGAAGGAATGAACGTGTGGCCCTCACAGTTTTATTGGTCCCAGCAGCGGCACAGGTAGCCAGGAGATCTTTCTGAAAATACAGTGTTTAAACACTGGCACAAAAATGGGGAAAACATTGAAGGCAAAAGAAAAATAAGTTTGTCATTTTGCCTTTCCAGATTAACAGTGCATTTCAAATACCAAATGAGTGTTCAAAGCCTTTGACTCAGTACTGCCATTCCCGGGAATTTATCCTTAATGAAAAAAAAAAATGTTTCTAAATAAAAGTATTATGTTGTTTTCAAGAATTATGAATTGTATGATTTACATTAACTGTAAAATGGGGGGAAAAAAAGAAAAAACAGAAAGAATCCAAGTGTCCAACACAGGAAGAGTTAATGAACTAGATGTAGATTTTAAAGACAGTAGCTATAAACACAAGACAACAATTTGAAAACACCTGAACTGCCAAATGTGAGGCAGAATAAAATGTTCATTTATATTTTAAGTTGAAGGCATATAAACCTTACAAATGCCAGGCTGAAAGGACCTATCGGAAATTTAAAAGGTGACAATTTGTGCTGACACCGGCCAATCATCTGGTGGTGGGGTGACAATGTGGGCAACTTTATTTCTACCATTGTTGTTAAATACAACAAATTCGGAAATACATTTCAGAACTTAAGGAATAATCAAAAATCACTTTTAGGGCACCTCGCTGGCTCAGTCAGTGAAGCGTGCAACTCTTGACCTCGGGGTCATGAGTTCAATCCCCAAGCTAGGCATACAGATTACTTTTAAAAAATCATTTTTAAAACATTTTTTTTTTTCCAACGTTTATTTATTTTTGGGACAGAGAGAGACAGAGCATGAACGGAGGAGGGGCAGAGAGAGAGGGAGACACATAATCGGAAACAGGCTCCAGGCTCTGAGCCATTAGCCCAGAGCCTGACGCGGGGCTCGAACTCACAGACCGTGAGATCGTGACCTGGCTGAAGTCGGACGCTTAACCGACTGCGCCACCCAGGCGCCCCTAAAAAATCATTTTTAAAAAGGAGTGCTCTTATTAGGTATTTACCCAAAGGATACAAAAATGCTCCTTCAAAGGAATACATGCACCCCGATGTTTATAGGAGCACTATCAGCAATAGCCAAATTATGGAGAGAGCCCAAATGTCCACTGACTGATAAATGGATAAAGAAGATGTGGTATGTGCGTGTGTATATATATACACACATACACATATACATATATACGGAGAGAGAGAGGGAGACTGTATTATGCTAAGTGAAATAAGTCAGTCAGAGAAAGACAAATACCATATGATTTCACTCATAGTGGAATTCAAGAAACAAAACAGATGAACATATGGCAAGGGCAAGGAGAGAAGAGAGGGAGACAAACCACAAGAGACTCTTAAATACAGAGAACCAACTGAGGATTGCTGCACGGAAGTAGGTAAGGGATGGGCTAATTGGGCGATGGACACTAAGGAGGGTACTTATGATGAGCACAGGGTGTTCTATGTAAGTGATGAGTCACTGAATTCTACTCCTAAAAGCAATATTGCACTGCATGTTAACTAACTAAAATTGAAATTTAAAAAAGGTTGGGGGAATAAATAAAAATAAAAAGTAGTGCTCTTGGAATGACATTGCATGGCTCTAGGAGAAGCAATTAAGTTACTTCTCAATGATACAAAAAAATTTTCTCAGTATAAGACAGTTTAAAATAAAATACTGAATTAGCAAGAACTATTACTTACTGAGAATGAATGATGAGTCCATAGGTAATTATAATTCATTACACTTTCTCCCTATGACTGCATGTTTGAAACATTCCATAATAATTTTTTTAAAGATTTTATTGTTAAATAATCTCTACACCAAACGTGGGGCTCAAACCTACAACCTTGAGATCGAGTCACACACTCTACTAAGTCAGCCAGGCACCCCTATAATAATTTTTTTTTAAGTTTATTTACTTATTTTGAGAGTGTGTGCATGCACAAATGCGAGCATGAGTGGGGGAAGGGGGGGGAAGGAGAAGGGGAGAGAGAGAAAGAGAGAACGAACCCCGAGCAGGCTCCACACTGTCAGCAAGGAACCCAAAGTGGAACTCAAACTCCCCAGCCTGTAAGATCATGACCTGAGCCAAAATCAAGGGTCAGATGCTCAACAAACTGAGCCAGCCAGGCGGCCCCATAATTTTTCAAATAACATCTTGACCAAACATTCCCAAAGGAGGAAAAAAAAAAAACCAAAACACCTAATATAAGTTTAATCTGGCCTTTCAACCTCCTACCATGTGCCTAGATTTTTTTTAAAGGAGAAAGCCACTCTACCAGTAACTCTAAATCCCTCTATTTAGATTGAAACAATATAATCTGCCTTAGAGGCAGTTCTTACAGCATTTCCATTAACAATTATCTTCAAGTGGAATTGCCAAAGGATTCAAATCAGAAGGGAACCCTCAAACAGCAAAAGCATGATTCTTTCCAATTGAATGTTACAGCCTCCCTCTAAGCAGAAAGTCCCACAGAGAAACCGATACAGCAGACACAGAGGGCCGGTCTTTCTGAGGAGTCATTTGTCAGATTCGTGGTGCAAGACAGAAGGAGTGGAGAGGGGAGAGAGCCCCAGAGAAGAGGGAAGGAAAGGGGGTCGTAGGTACACAGTCCCAATGGCCTGAGAAGGTGCCACCACACCTAATAATCCTGTATCATTGCTCCGCAGGTTCCAAAGGGCTTTCACAGCACGTCTGGCCACCCACTCAAATGTAGAATCCCCCAGGAGTCGGCTCAGAATCCCAAATTCCACCAGGAGGGAACCAGCTCCTGCTGTGCAGGTCTCATTATTGCTGTCGGGAGGAACACCAGTCTTCAGGTTCACCTGGGGACAGGAAGAGACAAAGGATTTGTGGCAAAACTTGAGGAACCCTCCAGGGCCAAAAGGCCAGGTCCCAGCCACCAGACTCCACCAATGATCCAAACTTGTTGCAGTGTGACTCAGCTCACCACTTTCCAGGTCACACCTACAAGACCATAAGAACACCAGTACCTTGTTTTAGTAAGTCTTAGGGGCATCATCACAATGCTATTCACTAACCCGTCTCTTTCCAGTGGGTTCTCCTCATGGTTACAGGGCACCAGGCTTTGGCATTAGAAACAAAGCTCTGCTGTGGAACCCCTTACAAAGTTTAAGTGACCTACTAGGAACTCACCCCTGCTCAGCAAACATAAACAAATTGCAGACTAGGAGAGAAAGGAGACACAGGGAGAATGTGACAGCCTGTTTCCTCCCTGAGGCTCTGTGGTCTGGCAATTCTCTGCTGGTTACGTCAAAGGCTGACTCAATTCCCAAGGGAGTTCTGGGCTCAGCAAATCGGGTGCCACAAGCGTATAATCTCATTCCAGATCTTGCATGTAAATCAGCAGCTAACTTGTTGGGCTGTGCAGGCTTTTATTTGAAAGATCCATGTGAAGCACTCCAAAGAACATTCACCAGGATCCTTACAATATACACATCAGAGTCTTTGGGGACATGTACTCAAGTCAGAAAGAAAGACAAATTCCCCATGCTATTCTGTAGCAGGGGATATAAACCTCACATGCAGAAGAATTTAAGAACACTGAGCACAGGAACATTAAGTTCTTTAAGAGAAAGATCAGGTATGTCACTGTGTGCCTGGCACACGGTAGGTGCTCAGTAAATGCTGAACAAACTAGAAAACATTTACATCGCATTTAGGGCCAAATTCTCTCTAGGACACAGCTTTCCTCTTCCACATCACCTCCCTCCTTTCTCCAAATAAAATAATCAAAAGAGAGTTTTAGGGGCGCCTGGGTGGCTCAGTCGGCTGAGTGTCCGACTTCAGCTCAGGTCATGATCTCGTGGTCTATGAGTTCGAGCGCCGCATCGGCCTGTGCTGACAGCTCGGAGCCAGAAGCCTGTTTCAGATTCTGTGTCTTCCTCTCCCTTGGCCCCTCCCCTGCTCATGCTCTGTCTCTCCCTCTCTCTCAAAAATAAATAAATATAATTTTTTTTTTTTTAAAAGAGTTTCAATTCAGGAAGATGCTGAAACATTAAACTAGTCTACCTACCCGAGGATAGGGGATTCCTGTCTTGGTGTTTTCAAAAGCAGGGAGGAGCCGCACAGCCAGGTCATGAGCCATGTGCAACAATTCATTATCATAATCCTTAATTGTCATGTCACCAAAGGGCTGCTTGGAGTCAGTTATTATTCTGTGGGCAGAAAGGAGGCTTCCTAGGACCCTAGAAGACAAGATGACAAGAACACAAAAATAATAAAATCATGTTGCTCGTCAATGCACACAATCCAGTTCCAAGGGACAGAAGCAGCCTCAAATCCCTCGTGAATTCAGCCTCAAATTCCCTCGGCCAAGAATCAGAGAAACTGAATTTAATGGTTTCTTGAAGTTCTTTTCAGACCTAATAATAAATAACCGATTCTTAGTTAACCACACTACTGCCCGGGAGAAAGAGAACCGTTCATCTGGGGCTTCCAAGAATAATCTCACATGAAGTAAAAACTAATGGCTGGCAGTCTCAGCCATCTCATCAGAAGAGAGTATACTAGCTGTCCTCAGAATAAACATTACCTTTCAATATGAATAAATTACTCTTGATTTCTCTCACATGGGGAACACAATTAACCATCTAAGCAACAGGAAAGGGCAAAACAACAAATACTAAGTCACTTTCCCTGTTTGGGCTGCCAAACAGCTCAGAAATCACCCAACTTCTGGTAAGGATGTGAGGTGAGGAAGAGAAGAAGGTGAGGAGGAGAAAATGACCTGCTCAGAGGCAGACGGCCACCAGCTGAGATCTACGTCCCTAAGAGCCAGGAATTCATGTACCACTCCGATGATCTCAAGTACGTCGTGACGTGTTTCGGCACAAACGGCTTTATAACTTTAACTTGAAATAAATGATACATCTAGAATGGTGTGCAGTAATGTAATTTTCCAAAAGTTTAAATGAAATAGTAAAACAGTCACAACATATCAACCTAAAAGAGACAAGAAACAAATCGGAGTGTGGAACACGGAGCGGGGGAGGGAGAGAGAAGAGGGAGTTGCATTAAGAGGGAAAAGGGGGTGGGGCGCCTGGGTGGCGCAGTCGGTTAAGCGTCCGACTTCAGCCAGGTCACGATCTCGCGGTCCGTGAGTTCGAGCCCCGCGTCAGGCTCTGGGCTGATGGCTCGGAGCCTGGAGCCTGTTTCCGATTCTGTGTCTCCCTCTCTCTCTGCCCCTCCCCCGTTCATGCTCTGTCTCTCTCTGTCCCAAAAATAAATAAACGTTGAAAAAAAAAAAAAAAAAAAAAGAGGGAAAAGGGGGAAATACACTCGAATGGTAAGCAGCGGTCCTCTGTGGGTGGTAGGTAAAATGGGAAACTTTCATTTCCGTCAGAAATATGTAGGGGTTTTCCTAGGACACTGCGAAGGAAGGAAACGAAAACAGACATGAAGTGCAACAGTGAAAGCCTACATTAAAAGCACACCTAACTCCCACCCTCATTAAAGCTTAGGTGAGTCTTTCTCTTCGGCCCCAAACGTAATTACTTTGAAATGTCAAGGGTCCCACTGTTGATAAAGCCCAAAAGGAAGAGGCAAGATGGACACAGGGCTCATAAGGTCTCCAACAACTCTCTACCTGGATCTCACAGGGAAATCCTCGCAGGAATTTCTCTCCTTCCACACTTACAAAAGAAGTCTTCAATCCATCTTATATACTATTTTACCTTATTGTGGCCTCGAAGACTTGCACGGTGGAATCTTTGTCAAATGAAACTGTGTTGATCACCAACTTGACTGCTTTCTGGAACTCGGATGAATTTCCCATTATCTTTAAAAAGAGGAACACAAACCATTACCATAGCTTGTAATGGAATGAGGCTCCGAGAGGGCAGGAGCTGGACCACTTCGCCTAAAAGTCTGCACGGGGTTTCGCCACCCACGGGAGGAGCGGAAACACAAAAGGCAGAAAAAGCACAGTTGTCTCCTAGAACATATTCCACGACAGATGGCAACTCAAGAATCCGATCTCCGAATGGTAAAACTGTGAAGTAATTCCTCATGAACCATGAGTAGCCCTCACTTTCCCACTCCACTCTCCCTCAAACTTCGGTCTGATCCGATTTAGCAAGCAAGGCGCCAGAGTTCCTAAAACTCTTAACATGAGTAAAAATAAATTCCAAAACTGAAGAAACAAAAATATAACTCTCCCGGTGCTCCTCAAATAAATCGGCAGCTTGGGGCTTGGCTCCCGGGAGACCAAAACATTGGGGAAAATGGACTTGTTGCCTGCTATCCAGATGTCTAAACGCTTTGAGAACATGAAGCATTATCTTTTGGAGCACAGCATAAAACCAGTGGCATCCAAAACACACAAACAAACAAATAATCAGCTCCATGTCCTTTTTAAAGAGTGATCTAAAATTACGATTTCTATTTTGGGTGCATGAATATGATCTCATGCTAAGCTGCTCTCTCCTATAGGAAGTGCAAATTGGGCATAAAATGTTACAGATTAACTAAACCAAAATGGTTTCATCCTGTTCAAAAATTCAGGACAATCCTGGTACTACAAGGACATCATCAGGACACACACACACAAAGGGAAAACAAAAAATTTCATCCAGATAGTACTTCTTCCAAGTGTCCAGTACTTCCCAGTATTTATTGGTCCAGCTCATCTTTTTGTCCCTTCTTCGTTGTTATTTCACTGTAAACAGGCAGATCGAGTACAGGCATTTCTTTCCTGACTTTTAGTTCTTTCTTTTTAAAAGATTACGCAATAATGCCACAAGTTGCAGTCAGTGGTCAGGGGATTGCTATCATCTGAATGTTTCCACAGCACATCTGTTAGAGCCTATTTAAAATGTTAGCAAGAGATCAAGAAACCCTCAACTGAAGTAACACCTGAAAAATAAGCCTAAAGTGCTAGCACACTCAACACCGGATATTCTACAATGAAAACCACAGAAGTGGCTTTGTTTCCTTACAGATGTTCGCCAGCAACAATATCTGTTAGCACCTGCAGAGGCTGATACAATCTCAGATCAAGTGGAGCATGGTGAAGAAAGCCAGTGACTTTCAATTACATACTCTAATTTACCCTTTTAGGCAGCTACAGAACAGAGTAAGCAGGCTATGAAATCATTCACTCGGGCTTAAGAAAATGTGGGTTGGAAAGAAAGAGTTAAAACAGTTTCTTTACTGAAGAACTTCTCAGAGCCTCTGAAAGGCTGGTGTATGTTGTGGTTCTCCAATAGTAGGACAGGCATGAAGAATTTCTCAAGTTCGTTTGAGAAAGCAACTCTTCCTTCAGGGAAAACACCCTTGAAAATGGTGTTGGGAAATGCTGGCTTTGTAGGAATTCATTCTTTGAACACATATTTGCACTCCTACTATGTATCAGACACATGAGGTGTGGAGAGGACAATGAGTAATAGAGATGAGGTCTCTGTACTTAATGAGCACAGCAGGAGGATAAAAAGACACAACAGGCCAAAAAAGAGGGGTCAGGGAGAAGAGATGTTATGCCTTTCATAACATATCTGAGTTTTGGGACTCTGTTTTAACCAACGCCTATGGTCTGAGTCAGCCTCTGGTATATGCGGCAAGTTAATTCCAATTAGGCTGAGCATACTTGTCTGGGCACGTTGTGATCATGGATGACGGATGACTGAAGCGCAGCAGCAAGGACCCCAGAGAGACGGGAAAACCAAAAGTGCTATGCAATCACAGCCTGGCAGAATGAAAGCCCACAGTCCCCGCAGACCCCGGGCCTGTGAGGATGTAGAGCAATCACTCAAGCTCTTCCCATGTTCTGGTGATTCTTCTGCCAGCAAGACACTGGGCAGCTGTAACGCAAACTTAGCTAGCATGACCCACTTCTAACCCCTGACGGCTTTAAATTCTTCTCAGGGACGTCCAAACAGACAAGAGTACGTTGTTAAATGCAGTATTTGGGCTCGACTATGGTAAGAATTCTCTAATGGTAAAGCCGTGCAGGACAATGACGAGGAGCAAAGAGGTTGTGAAATCACCTTGATCAAGGAGGTTTTAACATACTGTTCTGGAAGACAGCCTCTTGGAAGCAAAGAACCAAGAAGCAGACCAGGCACACGACACAGCCCAATGGTTAAGTACCATGCCACAGTGCCATCCTGCTTTCAGTGTGTTTCTGCAGATCTATTCAAAAAGCTCCAGTTCCCCAGACTCCGCAAAGGAAACAGGGGATGGGGGGGTGAAGGCGGCACCCAAGTTGGCAGCCCAAATGTGGAGTAGGGAGTGTCTACAAACTACAGAGTCCCACACAAGAGAGGAGCATTTCTAGGGGTCTCACGCAGGGGCTGGGACCAGGGACCAGGACACACACAAGGGGACCAAGTAGCTGAATGCTATCTCAGGGGCCCTACCCACCCTGAGCTTATCTTTTACTTCTGAAATCTTAACTACAGTAACTGTCAACTTTAATGGAATGCTCCATTGCTCCTTTATGGAATAAAACAGTGGGAAACTGGGAGAAAAACATGTTCCCTCAAAATAATCATACTTTCTTCTCCATTTTTTTTAGGGGAATCACATTTCCGTCCCTTTAACCCTGAATGCTTTTCTTGCTCTCAGCATTAAGGTCATTAAAATAAACAACGGCTATCAAAGCTATGAATACATTTTGAATATCAGGTTTCCTGGAATTCCCTCGATGGTGGAAACTAGGGGTATGCAACTCCAAAATGCCTTAATTAATTACAAAAATAATAACAAGCCTACACACTTACTGCAAGCGTATCCAATGCATCAACAAGAGTCAATGAATAATTCCCTAGGACATCATTGATGTTCAGATTTGAACTGAAAAAGAAACAAAATTAAAATTAAACAAAGGTACTTTATTTTAAAAGAGAAAAAGGGCAATAAAACTAAACATCCATTAGAAACTAAAACTGCTAGAAACTCTCATTTATTCAGGGCCGATTACAGGTGGATCAGTATGGCAACAGTCTTTCCATCTCATAAGTGACCCTTTCTATGGTGTCTGTAAGTAGACTCAATTCACAGAATAGATGCACCCTTAATGCTACTGACGAAACATGCAACAGGAAGTCAGGAGACGGTGAACCAGAATCGTGTGCCCTGAGACACAGTTTTATCACCACAAATCATCTCTCTGACCAGCTTCAAAAAGCTCTGATTTCAAAATCATTGTTAACGAAACTAGGAAGACCCTGTCATGTGACCTTAAATATAGAAATCAGACACTCCAGCAGGTTACACACAAAGAGAAGTAAATACCTTCAGTTATATTCCCATTATCACCACGGTGCTTTGGTTGGGGGAATAAATTAACCTCTTGATCTCATTTTCTCATTATCATTCATTCAACCAATGAATCCCCATCACCTCCACCCATTCTGAGGAGATGAGCCATGGTGGGACTTGTCTGCCGCACTCCTCCTGCCTCCATAGTCAACACTGATTTCCCTTCCTGGAGCAATCTTAAGACACTGCCTTCAGGCCTGCAGGGAAAGTAAAGCTCCCCAGTCACTCAGACTGCTCCTTGTAACACTGAAAACGATGACAAGGACAACGAAAACATCCGGGAAGGGCAAGGACGGAGAAATAGTGCAGCTTGACAAATTCCAGGGACTTCAGTCATTCTTCTCTCTCCTTCCCACCAGCCCCGAGAGTAACTGCAGAAGCCTGAAAAGGCTGGAGTAAGGAGAAATGGGACAGCTGTTTAAAGGTTACTTTTATTGGGGCACCTGGGTGGCTCAGTCAGTTAAGCATCCCACTTCAGCTCAGGTTGTCATCTCATGGTTTGTGGGTTCAAGCCCCACATCAGGTTCTAGGCTGACAGCTCGGAACCTGGGGCCTACTTCAGATTCTGTGTCTCCCTTGCTCTCTGCCCCTCGCCCGCACTCACTTACTCTAGCACTCTCTCAAAAAATGAACATTAAAAAAATATTTTAATAAAAATTTTAAAAAGGTTACATTTATTAAAGACCAAAGTGAAAAGCCCGAGTTTCATCTTCGACAACATATTCACCAAAACTCAAACATCTTGCAGCACGTCCCAGGCCACCGTAGCTACTCCCTCAGTCACACCTACAGCACCTGGTCTCACTTCCCCTGTCCTGGATGGCTTGCTACGCTCTCTGAAAATGTACCCTCCAGCGTGCCCTGGTCGGGGTCAGTGGCCTTACATGAAGCAGGCACACACAGCTTCGACACTTCACATCTGATCTCACGTGAGCCTTCCACTTGCTTTGTTATATGCTGTTACCCCACTAAATCTAGGACAAAGAATTTAGAGCTAACTTTTAGATACACTTTTGAAAACAAGCCATACAGAACGGGCTATCTAGGAACCAGGGTTATTTTGCCCCTTACAAGCCATGAGGCCAGCACACCGCATGGCTGAAAAACTGCACCTGCTTCTTCTATTTGTAGATTCTTTCTAAATATGTTCATATAATTCCAAAAGGTCCTCTAAAGACGAGAGCCGTGGGGTAAAAATAAGCACTTCAAGGGCAGTGCCAGCAAGAAAACATACAGGAAATGTCGAAAGTTGGAGGAGAAGGTCAAAGTAGACAGGAAGATCCTTGCGCTTAATTCTGCCAATTCAAGAACATCCTGTTAGGTTTAAATATTTAACTGCATTGCTCTACTGCTCAGAAACAAAGAGTGGGTTCCAACCCCACCTCATTAGAAAATAGTTCCTTCGCCACTTAGCATTCAAACTACGTGTGAAACACACCCTCTCCTGAGCTATACCCTCATCTGGGGCCAACACCACTCTTTCCACCTACACAGGTCGGTGGAAGGTGTTACTAACTTCGATCACTGCACTCCTTCATGTGCTTTGTAGCACTTTTCCTTTTAGGCTAATAACTAAAATGGACCCAATTTCAACCTACTTCTCAATACAGTGCCCAAGCAGTCACTAACAATTAACAGTTATAAGAAATGCCACAGTAAAAGAAAATAAATATTTGGAATAATGGAGTTGGTTCCTTCTCTCCACTCAGACAAATCCCCCTAAAGGATTTGACTGAAAAATCTAAGGTGTTCATTAAAACACTTTTAATTATTTTCTACCGAGTAATTGCTATACAGTCTTTAAAATATGCCAAAATAGAAAAGGAAGAGGAGTGAGAAGGGAAATGTAGACTCCATAGAACGCTCTTGGCCTAGCAGCACCATATTACTGTGATTCCACTTAGGCCAGCCCAGTATGTAAGACTGTGGTCTTGCTCTTTGTAGGTATTCTTGACCAATGGCCAGCCTGACTTCATATCTGCTAAGTGTCTCAAGCCAAGAACTCAATCTTCTAGTACAAGACTAGGCTCACAAGTACACATCTTTCCACATAACCAGCTGGCTGAACCATGATGACCCAGAATTAAACTCTCCACTTAATTTACCATGTGTGACTGTTCATGACATTTGCCCCACTGTGAACTTTTTTTAATATTTATTTATTTTTGAGAGACAGAGAGAGACAGAGTGTGAGTGGGAGAGTAGCAAGGAGACTGAGACAGAATCTGAAGCAGGCTCCAGGCTCTGAGCTGTCAGCACAGAGCCCGACACGGGCTTGAACCCATGAACCATGAGAGCATGACCTGAGCCAAAGTCAGACGCTTAACTGACTGAGCCACCCAGGCGATCCCACTCTACTGTGAATTCTTAAGGTTCTTATCACCCCAAAACAGAGATAGAGGAGAAAACTACACCTTTGACAGAAAATTTTTGATGACGTAACTGACAAAATCAAACATATGTTTAAAAAAAAAAATTCCCACATACACTTAACCTGTACCAGCTGTTCAGAAATATACCTGGTGCTGGGTAGACACAGAGGTAATACAAGAAACAGTCTCTGTGTCAAGGGATTGATAATCTGGGAAGACAAGACAAAGGGAAAGGAAGGTGAATACATAATTCTCAAGTGATGTTAAAATGTGGAACAGCAGCTTAAAGAAAAGGAACTGAAAGGAGAACTGAGTAAATCAAAGAAACTTGTCTTCAAAAGTTCAATGGCATCATAGAAAAAGTCTTAGGTCTAAGTTGTGTAGTGGGACAGGATTTTAGAAAGAAAGAAGAATGCAGAGGAGGCCATCTTAAGCTTGGTTGCTGAGGAATGGGTTGGTTTGGGGGCCAATACTGGTTGGGGTGATTCAAAGGCGATTTGCTTTTTTACTTGAACAGCAACTTGGCTGGGGAGGACGCAAAGAAGGGTCACATGCCCAAGGCCAGAACTATCGTTATTATTCACAAGGTTACAAAAAATAGAACATTCAAATTCACTTGAGGAAACTTTTGAATTTGGATCCTCCAACCCAAATTGGGGATATGAGAGTGACTGACTTTGCATAGTCATCTGTAGCTGAACAGAAAGATTTTCTATTTTAAAGCGTTCGGGTTTCATTTACTTCATGTTAAACCCTCACTCTATTTATAGTTAAACATGACGGGCAAGATATGCCTCAGGTAAATGTGACTAGAAAGAAAAGATACACACATTGAGCACCCATATTTTGTTTCTGTACTTTTTGCATAACATTCTAATGGCTTTGTCACTCTATATTTTAAATGTATCATTAGAATACGCTTGAAAACAATTATTAGAATACATTTGATTTTTTAAAATCTGAAAAATTTTTATTGCAGGTTATTTACTTGGGGGATATAAACTATCCTATTGTTTCAGAGCCAGAATGCCAAAACTCTGGTTCTAAACTTTCTTCGAAAATACTAGTCTGGGGGTGCCTGGCTGGCTCAGTAGGTACAGCATGTGACCCTTGATCTCAAGGTTGTGAGTTTGCAACCCATGATGGGTGCAGAGGTTACTTAAAAAAAAAAAATCTCGGAGTGCCTGGGTGGCTCAGTTGGTTGAGCGTCCAACTCTTGATTTCAGCTCAGTTCATGATATCAGGGTTCATGGGTTTGAGCCCCATATTGGGCTCCGCACTGACAGCATGGAGCCTGCTTGGGATTCCCTCACTCCCTCCCTCCCTACCCCTCCCCTGCTCACGCTCTCTCTCTCTCAAAAATAAATAAGCTATAAAAAGCATAGAATAAAATCTTTTTTAAAAAAATATATGATTTAAAAAAGAAGAAAAGCAAATACTAGTCTGAAAGGAGTTAAGTTAAAGAAAGGGGAGTAAAAAAATTAACCTTTCCACTCCTTGGAAGCAGCCAATGTGAGGATCTACTCAATATTACCATAACACCAGAATTCTTTCATCTCCTCAAAGACATCAAAGGTTTATCAACCAAAAGGTTTACTAACCTCTGGGCATGACCCTTCCCAAATGCCACCCCCTCGACATTTCAAACTCCATCTTTCCAACAGCAATATATCTGTCTCAAAGCAATCTGACCTCAGTTTACCCACACCGCCACTACACAATCAAACCAAGACACTCATCAGCAGACTTAGTCTGAAACAAAGGCCTACGCCACCCGGAACTACCACGGGGCCCAGTAGGATAATCAACTGACACGTCACGTTGCTGGAGAGGGGCTCCAACTCCCCAAAGGGTTCCTAAGATTCATTAAGAAAAGCATCCAAATGTCATCAGCTAACTCTCCAGACCACCATATTCCCAACTGAAAGTGTGATCACAAGCACGCATTAAACCGTTTCCTTAGGTCCTTGCCATAAAAGAAAATCTGAGGAAAAAGTCTTCGAGAGAGAATAAGGGCACTTACTGAAAGTATTCTCTCCCTTCCTGTAATACCATGAGCATTAGCGAGAAAATACAATCAAGATCCAAAATGTGTACACACACTTTGATTTCAACTATGTAAAAAATGTGTAGGCATATGAGCAGGAGCTGGCAAGGAAAAATAAATTAAATGTCTGGTGGGGTTTTAGGCTTTTTCATTTTTTCAAATTTTAATTTTTTTTTCCTCCAACAATAAAAAATGAAATTAACAGAAAATACACAGGCATAAAGCCTGGTACAGTTAAATACCAACAAACGACTCATTACTTTCCAAACATCTGGAAAGGCCCAGCAATTTTTTTTCAAAACTTAAGAAAAATTTTTCTCAAAAAATTAAGATAGAAGATATTTATATGCATAAAGCCTGATCTAGTGAAGCAAGAAAAATAACTCATCAGTTTCCTGCAATTTTAGAAAGGCACAGTCCCTTGAAAGTAGCCTGGAATGTGCCCTTACATCACTGAAACTCATGCTCCTCAAACTGTCATTTAAAATATGACTTTGGAGATAACCAAACCATTTTTTAAAACCCTTCAAATCCCTTTAGTATACAGGCTTCCTTTTCAGAACTTAAGGATCGGACTCGTTTTCCCCAGGTGAAGGAAAGTACATCCCCCAGAAGTACAAAGCCACCCCCAGGATGTGGGGCCAGGACACTAAGCAGCTCCTCTGGTCCACCCTCACCACACAGAGGAAGGTAGTCACCAATGTGGTCTAACAGGGTCAGTGACAAAGCACACCCATTCCCTCCAGGTGGAAGGTCCTCAGCTGAGTGTGCTGTCCTCTTGGACTCTGATGTCAACAGCAGTGACCCTGGAAGCTTGGCCTCCACAGACAAGGCTGGTGGAAAGGAACACTGGCTGAACTTCCGTGACAACCTTGCCACCAGAGGGGAGGAATTTATGGGACAAATAAAGGTGGCAGTCAATTCTGCAGCCAGGGAATCACAGCCTGAGTATCAGGACCCCAAATCTCAGCTAGATAGCCTCTCTGCCTCCCTCCCTCTCCCTCTCTTTCCCTTTCATGTAAGTATCCTCAGCCTAAGAAGCAGCCCCTGTACACGAAGGAGAAAGGTTGTAACCCCGCTCTGCCTCGCACTCATTACCTGGCTTTAGGCAAGTCCTTTCCCAGAATCAACTCTCGAATTTTTATACAGAAAAGCCAGGGATGCGAGCAGGTGCGGGGAAATAAGGGCTTGTTTCGAAACTGCGTTTTCACACGGGATTTCATTTTAATTATATATTCATCTGGAGAAGGAGTTGGAGATGAGAGTCAAAAGCCCCCGAAGCTACCCCTTGGTACTGCCACTGTCCCTTCCGGTCTCTGAGCCTCAATTTCCCCATCTGTAAAAGAGACTGAGCTGGACAGCTGTGCTGTAACTGACATTCCGGGAGAATCGAGGAAGAGGACAGCCACAGACCCATCCACACCCCCACCAAGCCCAGGGGGACCTCCAGGGGGGTCGGGCCAAGGCCCCAGGTGGGCGGGTGTGGCCCGCTGGACCCTAAACGCTATGGCATCCCTTGGGGAACCCGGAGGACGCAAGGAAGCGCGTGGTGCGCGCGGCCCGGGGCGTCGGGCCAGCGCCGGCTACTCACGGGTCCCCGCGGTCCGGCCCTCGGCCGCGGCAGTGGATGGGGTTGAGCTCGTCCTGGGGAAAGGCGTGCGCCATGTAGTTGTCGTAGCCGAAGACGAACATGCCCCGCGCCAGGTCGCGCATCTGGGCGCGCAGCTGGGGCGGGAAGGCGCCGCTGTAGCGCTTCTCGTACTCGTCCGGGCCGCGGCCCCGGCCACCCAGCACGTAGCCCCAGTGGGCCGGGCCGCACATGCCTGGCCCGGGCCGCCGCGGAGCCCGCCGCCGCCCCGCCGCCGCCCCGGGGACCGGCGGCTGCAGCCACGACGGCCCCGACGGGCCCGCGGGCCCTAAGGCAGGAGAGACGGGGCCGTCGGGGGCCCTCAGGCGCTGGAAGCCGAAGCTGAGCGGAAAACGCTGGTAGAAGCCCATGCTGGGCCCCAGCCCGAAGACGAGCCACAGCACTCCATGGAGGCCAAGCCGGAGGAGCACCAGCCCCAGGACGAGCGCTCGCCATTGCATGGTCGCGCGGGCGCCGCGGGCATTATTTTAAAGCGCGGGGGGCCTCCCCCGCGGACCACCGCACCCCGCACCCGCCCGTAGCCCCGCTCACTTCCCCTTTAAGGAACTCCCCCGTGACGCACCAGGAACCGGCCCATTGTCCCCCACCCCCAGTCCCTCGGGCCGGCCGGCCGGGCCCCGCGTTCGCCCGCCCAGTCGCCCGGGATTGGCCCGGCCCGGCCCGGCCTCGTGGGGCGCGGCCGGGGACTCCCTCCCGCGCCATAGGCCGCCCAGACTTCCGCAGCGCCGCGAGGCCCCGCCCCATCTTCCTGCCCCGCCCTCTGGGCCCCGCCCCTGCCTCCGCCCCGCCCCCTGGGCGGTCGGAGCCCAGAAGGGCTGGCGTGGCGAGTAGGGGCCGCTCGGGCTACTGGCGAGGAAACTTCCAGCCAATGGGAGAGCGGCACGGCTGCACCAGCCGGACGCCGGACGGAGACGGGGCTCCCCGACCGCCCGGCTTAGGGTAGTGTGTGTCTCCCGCCTAGCTGGGCCTGGAGAAAGCCACTCCAGCTGTAGGTTTGGGATGGTGCCAGTCAAATGACCGAAGGAAGAGGAGGGAAAGGGACAGTTCCTTACAAAAGGAGCTACTTATGCATCGCAAGGGCAGGGTTTTTTAACTTGACCGTCTGTTTACAGCGGGGGTGGGATACTACCTTGTAGCTAGCGACTGCACTAAACGGTATCCTGAATTCTATTTTTATCAGAACACCCTAATTTGTAAGAATTGCTGTGATTGTGAAACACATATTCCCAGATCCCGTCCTAGACATAGCAAACATCAGTGGAGGGTCTTGGGAATGTGTGTGTAACAAGTGGTCGTGTGCTGTTCTTAGCATCTGGCAATTTCAAGAAATACTGAATTAGATTATGTTGCCTTTGTCTAGGAAATAGGATCTTTAAAAAAAGAAGTGAAGAATCAAGGCCGCCACTACCACCAAATTATTTTTGCCAAATCTATTTAACCACGTCCCCTCCCGCTCCTTCTATTCCCACCATCTCTCCTGTGCACCACAGTAGTGACCTAACCTTTGGGGTGTAGGATAGATTCCTGTTCAAATCACTTTACACATTCTATATCTACTTCCTATAATTAAGAGGGTTGCTAATGTCAGCTCTGAAAGGCTATGGCTTTCACGTAAAGATTCAATAGTTGAGGGGTTTTGTTTTCTTTTGTTTGCTACATTTGTAGGTATCGTTAAGGTTTTCCCTCAAATTTAGACCATGTGCTTGTTACACCAAAGTTTCTGAAAAGCTTAGGAAGCAAAGCCTAATCAATGGCCCACGTCAGAGACTGGCTGAGCCACCAAGGGAGTGACTAAGAGAATGATAAAGTTGTCATGTGGCTCAGTCATCACATTCTCGAGTCAGGGGACTTTTTGCAACACAGAGATGTAATGGGGACTGAGAAGGAACACAAAGAAACATTTCGTTACAACACACAAGGTAACTGGCACCTGACATGGCCCTCTTTGTTGGCTGAGCCTTATTCCTCCAGAAGTCCTGAGAGCTAAGCCTGCCCAGGCACTAAAGAGTTATAAAGATAGCTTGAGCCATGGTCTTTTGCCTATGAAGATTCTGCTTTTACTCCTCTGTGAAAGGCAACTGGGAACCCTGCCAGAAGTCCAATCTTAGGGTTTGACCCTGAACTTTCAGGTCTGCCTTCCCAGAACTTGCAAACTGAATGTGAATATTAAGGTATGTGTTATAGGTTTCCTTCTTAAGCTATCTCATTATAAGCAAATTTTAAAGGTTTTAAATTTGATCTTGCACCATGGTCAAGTGTAGACCACATTAATGACAGCTCTTGTCCTCACATTTGGAAATGAGCTCTAGTTAAAAACAAAAACAAATTTCTCTTCATAACCAGAGAAAACCATCCAACTTCTAAAAGATGTTTTTGATGGTAAAACAGACAATAGCTGCCACTCATATATGTCTTATAGTTTTCAGAATCCTTTCCTATATTCTCCCTTAATCTTCACAGAAAGCGTTGTTAGGCCCATTCCACAAGCCAAAAGGGAAGAAATCAGGTCGGAAGGCTCAAGTTCTCTGAGCTACTTACTGTAGGCAGAAAACAAGCTACTGCCCAGGTCTCCCTCCTGAACTTTAGTGAAATTTAACCCAAACTAGCTGGCCCTCAAAGCAAATGAAGACTAGTTTTTCTACTCTTCCCAAGATACCCCAGAGGCAACAATGTTGACATTAGCTTCCTGCAAGGCACAGTCCCAAGATTTAGGGGCCAGATTCGGAAACTGTTTCATCTCGAATTAAACGGAACCAAAAGAAAACAGATCTTGTGCTAGCCTTTCAGATTATCCTAGGATTCCCCTCAAGGTAAATGTGGCTGGTAAGATTGGGACAACATCCCCATCTAATCAGAAAACCTCCATTTTAAAAAGCAACTCTTCAAGAAAACTGTTTTCTGCACAATCTTACAAAAGCATTAGGGGGCTGATTAAAAAAATGAAACGTACTATGGTAAAAATGCCTTTACTCTGGGGGACGTAAAAGAGGTGATAGCTAAGAACTCAGACCCAAGTCTGATTGCCAGATGTCCAAATCGTAGCTCTGGCTTCTGAGTGACCTTGGAAAGTTACTTAACTTTTCTGGAGCTGGTTTTCTCATCTGTAAAATGAGGGTAATAAGAACCAGTACTCGAGGTACCTGAGTGGCTCAGTTGGTTAAGCGTCTGACTTTAGCTCAGGTCATGATCTCACGGTTCCTGAGTTTGAGCCCTACATTGGGCTCTGTGCTGACAGCTCAGAGCCTGGAGCCTGCTTCGGATCCTAAGTCTCCCTCTCTCTCT